TAAAACAGTGCTCCTCATTTCTTTTCCAAGCTGTGAAAATAAATATGCATTTCTCATATCCACTCATTCTGTGTGATATTTTCTGTCGTTTAAACCAAGGGAGGTTTAGGTTGGACATTAGGAAAAAGTTCCTAACTGTCAGGGTGGTTAAACACTGGAATAAATAACCTAGGGAGGTTGTGGAATCTCCATCTCTGGAGATATTTAAGAGTAGGTTAGATAAATGTCTATCAGGGATGGTCTAGACAGTATTTGGTCCTGCCATGAGGGCAGGGGACTGGACTCGATGACCTCTCGAGGTCCCATCCAGTCCTAGAATCTATGAATCTATGAATGTGTGGGTCAAGTAGCCTACTGGTACACATTAGAGAAAAATGTTCAAATATTCATCTATGAGTCATGACAAAAGTAATAAAGCGTGAATGCTTTTCTTTTGTTAAGCTATTGATATGTACCTTTCTGTGAACAAACAAGCAACAAGATTAACTAAAAATAATATTTTAACAAGTGAATAAACTTCTTTATATTACTATCTCATTAAAATACACCTTTTAGCAATAAGATTAAATAATCTACCTACCTGAATTTTCAAATTAATTAGACTGAAAACAAAGGTTCTCAACAAGGTCTGATTTAGATATTCATTTTCTTGTTTTACACTCAAACGTTCAAATACTTTAAATCCGATAAAATGTCTGCTTATGGAAATTGAATTTTTTTTATTGGCTAGATAGAAAACACAATTTCAGAGAAAGCTACTTCTATATGATTTTGAACTGACATAACGGCAAATAACGTTATGTTTATTTAATATAGAATTTTTAGACCTGCCTCGAATGACAACTAAATTAAACACAGTGCTTTTGTTGTCCCTGCACAAACAGAAGTGGTATGGCTTTCAGATAAATGGAAAAAAAAATACACTTGAATAATATACAAATTGTGACACAAACCAACAAAAAACAGGAAAGTGTGACTGACTTTTCACTCATAACTCATGCCATTTTTAAAACAAAAGATACAACTTTTTCAATATCAGTGATGTCAATTTTACTTCTGAATTTTCAGTCACTGGCTTATGGATTTTAATTACATTTCTTCTTTTAAAAGAAAAAAAAAATACTTTCCTGGACTGCTGTAAGACAGAAGTGTCTAGATAATGGAGTATTTTAAATTTTGCATATTTACAGCATTATCATCCCCTACACAGGCTACTCACTCGTAAGTGATAACCAAGTGCACATTAATGCAGTTTCCTATTAAGTCTTCCATAGAAAGGCCTACTTGCCCCTCCCAAATGGCTGGAGATTGGAGACTAGTATCTCTTATGTGGAGGCCCTTTGCCTCCTGCACTGGTTCCCACCTCTTTCCTAGTCCATTTCCTGCTTTCATAATATTATTTCAACTTTACAAAATTGTTACTGAAATGTACCAGCTCATACACACAATATACTCACTCACTATATACTATGAAGATGAATGATAATGAAAGAACTCCAATTAAATTGGGGGTGCAGGCTTTTCTGCAGATCCCAGTGTCCTTGGCCCTACTGTTAGCTGATAGACCGCCTGTGCCTTTCCTCACCTATTTTCCTTTCTTTTTGTCTCTCTCCTCCCATATAACACATAAGCACAGAGTAGCCAACTACATGCAGAACATTCAAGCTTCAACCTTCAAATGAGATTAAATCAATGGTCCTTATCATAGAGCAAGCACACCATCTTTTACCTTACCATTGTCCTCTGGGGTTCACGGGGAAGCAGAAAGCTACTGTTTGCATCTATATGTAGGATCTGATGGAACAGAAAAATAATCTAGCCACAACTCTGAAACAAGGTCCATCTGATGTCCAATACTTGAACCCTGCCAAAAGGGATTCAGGAAAATAACTCCTTATATGTCACTTACTCTATGTCATGTCTTGATATATAAAGAGAGATTAATTGCATCCATCAGAAAATGCTTGCCAGTATGAGGAATGCAATCATCCAATTATCTGTAGTCCCTCTCATGCTATCATACATATAGTTTATTTTGTGACCAGAACACCCATTCCACCAACCACCCAGCCCTGAATACAGTCCAGACACTGGCCTCTCCCAGTTCTCCCCAACCATCATAACACTCTCGATTGTCTAACCTGCAATCAGTACCAGACCACTTCACTTCTTGTCCCCTACACCTCTGTTTCTGAAACTTTTGAACACTGTCGCCCATTAGGAAAATGAAACCAATCATGACCATGCTGCAACCCTGCTGCCCGTCCTATCCTTGGAGTCTCTCCTCCGACCAGGGAATGCCACATCGCATTGGAAAACACTGCCCAACACACAGTGATTAATTCGTAATGAAAGAGGTGCTGGGGTTCAAGGAATTAGGAGCCAGGGCTCAAGCATTTTTTTTTACTTTCATAACTTATGCAGCAAGCCCAGAAGTGTCAGGGCTATGAACTGCCAAGTGTAGAGGCGCTGGGGCTCAGCCCTGGCACAAATTAAGCACTGCCGACACAGAGGATTATTGGAAGATCAAGAGCAAAACCCTAAGAGCCTGTACTCCCATGAAGAGGTATTGTCCATACCGTTAATGACATTGCTAGCCACTAGGAAGCTCAGGGTGCAACCTACAATCTCAAGGGGAGCACTCAGAGGCTATTAGCCCATCATAGCCCCAGACAGATTGGCCATTGCACTGAAGAAAGAAGGGAATTTATGTCATCTACGGGCTGCCTTAAGACCCTGAATGGTGGACTACTCAACTAGTCCAGCTGTTCAATCTTCAGTGTAATATCGCAGGAGGGGCTTTGCATGGCACCATTGCTATTTCTTTCCAGAAGTGAAAGTGGGCCAGTACGGCGTACCAGTAAGAAGTAGCCGCTGGTATGGGCCTGTACACAGCCGACGTCAAAAGACCCTCCTTAAAGCGTTGCCACGGCAGCCAGGGCCGGCTCCAGCTTTTTTGCCACCCCAAGTGGCGAAGCGAGGAGGAAAAAAAAAAAAAGATAAAACCCCGATCGGCGGCACTTCGGCGGCAGCTATACCGCGCCGCTTCATTCTTCGGCGGCAATTTGGCGGTGGGTCCTTCGCTCCGAGAGGGACTGAGGGACCCGCCGCCGAATTGCCGCCGAAGACCCTGACATGCCGCCCCTTTCCATTGGCCACCCCAAGCACCTGCTTCCTTCGCTGGTGCCTGGAGCTGGCCCTGGTGGCAGCGTTTTAACATTGCTGCCCCTTTTGCCCCCTATACTCCAGGGCCGCTTGGGGTGGGCACCTGTCCCTGAGCCCAGCGATTTAAAAGGTCCGGGGGTCCTGTCGCTGCCGCCAGAGCCTTGGGCAGCACGGGCCAGGCAGAACTGAAGGGCTGGCTGGGAGAGGCTGACCCCCAGCCCCGCCCTATCCACCTGAGGCCCCACCTCTTCCGCCTGAACCTTCGCCCCTTCTGCAGGCCCAGAGCCAGGCCCCCAAACCGGTAAGACTTTTAAATTACTTTCACCCCTGTTTCTTTCTCTCCTAGCAGTATTCTTTGATGTCTGTATTTCAAAGTGGCCCAAGAAGTTTGTGCTTGCTGCTCCAACTTTTAGCACTCTGCACTGCCTCCAAGCTGCTGCTCAGTAAATAGCTGTGCTGCTGCTCCATTCTGAATCTTCTAGGCTTGCTGCATGTGTGTCCCCCTGAGTGTGGGAGAGAATCTGTCAGCTGGAGAAAAACTATCCCCCACCCCATCCAGTCCAGGCCATTGGGATCCAGGACTGCCCTCCACTGACAGCACTCGCCCAATAATTCACCTCCCTGCACCTCTAGATCTGCACCATTACAGAGGGCTACATGGTCCTGGATGGTTACCATCTTCCTGCTACTAGTTTGCTCCCTCCAGATTGAATGCCTACTTGCTTGCCAAGGGTACTGAGTTGTGGAAGTCAGAACATATTGATCACAAACTGCTATCTCACTGTCCACAAGGATTATGGGTTCTGCTGATTGGACCAACCAGACAATGAAGCCACCCAGGCCAGTCTCTGCTGCATGTACCCACAGATTCAGGAGTAAGTTATGGCTGCCTGACATTGGGGCAAAAAAGGTCCACTGACTGGGCTTCTTCTGCTAATGAAGACTCATCTGATTGACTCCTGCTGAAATCACTGCCTCTACCATAAACTGAATAGGGTACCTTGCTAGTGTCCTTTCTCCCTGATGAAGTAGGAAACCATATGCTTTTTATTCTCAAAAGGAGGGAATGACCAGTCTGTGAACTAGTGGGATTTCGACCCACCAATCACACAGCGGGAAAGTTTTTCATGCCTCCTAGCCACCAATCTGCTACCTCATATGAGAACTCAAATTCTTGCTGTTCTCATGGAGTGAGACAAGATACAATTTCCAGGTAGTCATCAATCCGCATTTGCAAGCAATAAATGATGAAGCAAAACCAAGACTGTTTGTTTTTCGAGCAGGTTGGGATTAGCCTTATTACAATTATTGAATAACTGCACTCTCATTGGATGGAAAAAAGGACTTCTCTTGTTCTTTCTCTAACAAAATACATCAGGGTCCTAAAAGTACCAGTTTAGGAATTCAACTGATCTTTTTTAATAACCTGATTTCTGATTAACTCAAGTTCTATAACTTTTTGGTCTTAATTTTACCAGTCTTTAATTTTCATCCTTGGACATCAGTTTAATTTGACACAATAGTAATGTTTCAACTTATGTAAATAAAGTGCAAACAGGAATACATTTGTCTTTATATTAAAATAATAAACTATTTATTGGCTCTTCTCAAAATCAAGAGAGTATTCCCTCTGTCAAAACTTATTTCTACTATCTGCATCCATAAAATATGAAACAAATTATCCATTGCTGATATTAATGGGCTATGATGACAGCTGAAATGATCTGTTCTTTCTTTCCTGTATCTAGTGAAACTTACTCAAATGTTTGTGCCTCTATAGGATAGAAAAAATAATCATGTTATAGTTAACAGTGTTCATTCATTAACATACTTACGAGAGCAGGTGGCAGTTTGCCACTCTAGGCACTGTCCATATGGAAAGGAGATTATATAGGCATTTGAGTCAACGCATCGTTTTGTACTGCTACACCACATACACTCCATGCCATTGCTCGTGCAGTTGGAACATGTTGTTCTCAGGGAACATGTTTTTTTGCAGGGTCTAGCATTTTGATTAGGACTAACTAGAAAAAAAGCAGAAAGACTTTATTAATTTAACACAAATTCAATCCCTATTATTTTAACATTATGTAATATTAAAGAGACTGTTAAAATAAAAGTGATTCTCTCCTGGTTTATTTGTGAATAATTTCAGTCAGACTCACGGTACAGTATGCAATTACAAATGGTTTTTTACAAAAATTACCCTACTGTTCTCAATACTCCTTTGTGTAATCATCTTAAGTCACATTACATCTCCAAAAGACTTCATCTAAAAGTGATTATAAGAATTTTACTTATCTACCACATTAGTAAATTTAGTATTAATTGTTCAATAATGCCAATGTAGTTATGAGCACATGCATTATATAAAATATGACTGCAGCTACTGTAATAGGTGTGTGTGACAGGGCGCTGAGCAAGGACGGCTTAATCAGTCCCCTGCCACTCCAGCCCCAGTCAAGGGAAATGGATTGGGGCGGGTTGAAGAGCCCTGTGCCTGACTGGCAAGGAGAAAAAGCTGCCAACCTAATTAGCCAGGGGCTACAAAGGCTGGCAGGAAGGAAGCCAGAGGAGGGGGGGGGGAGAGAGAAAGGCCAGGCACAGAAAGGGGTGGGGCCCTCTATTCTGCTGCTGGCAGGGCCGGCTCCAGGCACCAGCGTGGCAAGAAGGTGCTTGGGGCCGCCACTCCGGAGAGGGGCGGCAGGTCTAGCTATTCGGCGGCAATTCGGCGGACGGTCCCTCACTCCCGTTCGGAGCGAAGGACCTCCCGCCAAAGTGCCGCCGCAGATCGCGATCGCAACTTTTTTTTTTTTTTTTTTGGCTGCATGGGGCGGCCAAAACCCTGGAGCCGGCCCTGGCTGCTGGCCAGGCCTGCTGCTTGCAAAGTCTGGCTGTGGAAAACCTGTACATAGATAGTAAGGTGGTGGTGGGAAACAGCTATAATTAAAGAGCACTGGTGTTTGCATCAACCTGAGGCGTCCCTGACTGATTTGCGAGGGAAGCTGGGATGGAAACCAGACGGGACCAGCTTACGCCTGGCTACAGTGTAGCAATCTATAACCTTCTTGTTCTGTTGCTCTTGTTAGTTAAATAATGAATAACCATAAACCACAGTTATTTACTTCACTAGTGATATATTTTCCCTTAAACATTCTGCATCTTATCTGAGAGTGAGAGTTGCCAAATGAACATCTGCCCCCTGGTGTATACAGTAGAACTCAATACAAATTCAAAGAGAAAATAACAAGGGAAACATTATTTAATATATAAGAGCTTTTTACTGCAGACAATATTTTGCCTATCTTAGTCGTGGTATGTGTAATCTCTGAAAAGTTATATTCTAAATAAAAATTACTTGTATGTTTTTCTGTGGCATTTTCTTTTGATTACAAATAAAGCTGTAACATGTGCATCAATATGATTATAGTAATTCTTAACTAAGACCAGTACATAAAAATATTGGTAGAGTAATATGTTTCTATTATAAAAAGGAATTTGCACAGCATTCCTGTAATAAATGTTAACTAACCCCACACAGCTATTATGTACTATTATGTGGATTATTGATGATGCAGATAAACAGCTTTATAGAAAATAAGCTTAATCCTCAAGTCCTTCCTCAGCCCTTAATAAGGCAAAAACTCCCAATGATTCAAGAGAGTAAAGACAGGTAAAAACTGAGTAAGGACTTCAGGCTTTGTCCCACTACGCATAAATTTGAGCCACAGCTTGCTATAATCATAAAGACAGGTTCAGAGTAGCAGCCGTGTTAGTCTGTATCCGCAAGAAGAACAATCTTTTACTGTAAAAAAATTTTTTTTAAATGTGATGGAACTCAAAAAAGAAATCCCAGAAGCCCTGAATTTTCTTAACCTCCACATCTGCGGAAACAGTTCAATAGCAAATAAAATTGGCATCAATAACAGATGGAGATTCTGATGCTAAACTTGGAAAATACTCTTAACAGTTTGTCATCTGCATTCTTCAGTTATTTAACACGTCATTACACCATGCCACATCTGTTTATTCTTTGACAGAGAGAAATATAACAGATTACAATATCTATTACTACAAAACAGCAGCATGAGGAACAGAAACAATAGGAAACAGACTCAGTCAGCAGTAGCAACAAAATGCAAATTTACTTTGTAATTACACTGCTATTTGAAATACTACAAGTTGTGCATAAGACAGCCAGAGGATTGTTGGAATGCATGTTTTATTTATGAAAGTTAACAACTTTGAGAATTTTGACAGCAAAATCCTTCTTTATATATGAGTGCACAACAAAAAATTAAATACTTTTAAATGCCTTTTATGTTACTTTGTACACAAGGCTTTCTACTACATTAGCAAACTCAAAAGGAGGGGAAAAAAAGACAACAACAGAAAGAAGATACATTAGGATCACTTTCATCTCTACAAACTTTGTTCATCCTGTAATCTTTAGGACAACCTGTAAATTTTAACCATCTGCACAAAATGAGAGCATTGTTCATATGAAAAATGCTGAATTATATTTACTTCCTTTCCAAAGGGTTAAGTGAGCTCCCTCTACAGCAGCGGTTCTCAAACTGTGGGTCGGGACCCCAAAGTGGGTCACGACCTCATTTTAATGGGGTCGCCAGGGCTGGCATTAAAATAGCTGGGGCCTGGAGCCAAAGCCCAAGCCCCACCATACAGGGCTGAAGCCAAAGCCCAAGCCCCACCGCCCAGGCCAGGGCTGAAGCCGAAGCCCAAAGGCGTCAGCCCCGGGTGGCAGGGCTCAGGTTACAGGCCCCCTACGTGGGGCTGAAGCCCTTGGGCTTTGGCTCCCCCTCCCTGGGGAGGTGCGGCTCAGACAGGCTCAGGCTTCAGTCCCCCCACCTGGGGTTGTGAAGTAATTTTTGTTTTCAGAAGGGGGTCACGGTGCAATGAAGTTTGAGAACCCCTGATCTACAGAGTCTCATATGACCACACATTACACTGTCACCCATCATCTTAGACAACTTGGGGACTGTTCCTCCTTTTCATGAAGGACAGGGCTAGGAGAAGGTTTTAATATTAACTATTAGGTAAGTGTCTGCAATGTTTTTCTGTATCCTCTAGAGACCTTTAGAAGTTTGTTTGTTTTTTAACACAATGAATTAGTTTCTATGCAAATGTCTCCTTTAAACTAAACATTAACATTTATGTACCAACAATATTACTATTTGTGGATGCTCTGCCTTTTAGCACATATACAGATTGTTTCTTTTTGAAAACACTTTTTATATAATTAATCCTCAGGTAGATATTATAATCTGCATTTGATAGATGGAGAAACAGATTCAGAGAAGGCAACTTAGTCAAGTGATTTGCCAAAAACCACCACCAGGGACTTGTCCTGTTTCCCAACCTGTGACTCAAACCACTGGGCCACCCCTCTCAGTGGTAGTAAATAAATTAATTCACTCACATTTTTGGACTTTTTTCTTGTAAAATAAAGAAAAACCAGTCCTGTCAGAAGGAAATTTTGAATCTCAATATATAAGTGTCAGCAACTTGGGATCTGTGATGAGCTAGTCAGCACTGCAGCACCTTCAGGAGAGTGTCTGCACATTTATGTCCCAATCCTCAATTTTAAAACATGAGAGCAGCCTCACTGAAAATAACAGAACTACTCATGTGCTTCCCATTAAGAATCTGCATACGCATTTGTATCTGGGTCTTAGAGATTAGACATCACTGTGGTGTGATTTATTGCAAAAGCAAAATCATGAAGTACAGTATGTTTTATCACTCCATAGATTCTCAGAGAAATAGAGAAAAAAATTCTTGGTCTCCTTATTAATTACAATTTCCTTCTTAAATGTCTTTCTAACTAGACTCAGACCCCAATTCACAACAGTCCATCCTTATAAAGTAAGAGTGGTGCAGGTAATTCACCACAGCTAGACCAGTCCTGTTAGTTTGCAAACATTTGCTTACCCAAGGATGACTGTTAACCACTTGTCTACTAACTTCTCAGCATGGGTTTATACACACTGTCAAAAGAGCCTCCAACTACCTTCAGCTTCCATAATGGGAAGGGGTAACTGGGTTCTTTAAAAACTGCCCAGACAAATGATGGATAAAATAACTCTGTTTTAGTTAAACATCTGTGTTATTAATTTAAATGGAGAATCTGTTATTAATCAGCAAGATTCATAAATGAAACATGCTTTAGCAGCATCAGCTTTGTTGAACACAAAAGCTCAACAGCAACTTTTATATACAAAACTCCAATATCAGAGCACTAATTCTGCCTTCGAACTCACTGATGTAGCTACTGGTATGATGCAGACTATGCCAAGTGGGGTAACTCTCAAAGAAAAGTATGTTGCTTTTGAGAACGTCATTTGCTTTCCAAGATTAAAAGCTTCACTTGCTTTTAAACGTTAAAAGCAAAACCTTCCTGCAGTTATTTACAAGAATTTTTCCCACATTCCTTCTGTACAAAACAAAAATACCAAACAGACTGTTCAACCATTTTAACAGCAGCATTTTGGTATGGGAGGTTGCTCACCAACAGGTTTTTCACAGACAAGACCATCTGCCTTAGCGGTGCATGGATTCGCTTTCAGCCCTGCCACCTCTGCTCTTTCTAGATATGCACAGAAGCCAGAGTCATTTGGTTCTCCAGGAAGCCATTGCAGTGTCGTATTTGTGAAAGGAGACATGTCATCCCATCCCCAGTAGGAGATGTTGATCTTGCGCAAACCTACCCAAGGTGATATTTTCTATAAAGCAGAATGAAAGGGACATGAAACAATTAGTCAACAGTCAACTACAACAATGCTTTTTTTCTTTTTTTTTTTGGCCTAAGATCAATAGTTTCATACTGCATTCAGAGTGGAGCTAACAGTGATTTCCCCACCATCTCTCATATTTGGTAACAATACAGTTTTCAACTCATTTGTTCTGTCTTGCTGAAAGCTGAAGAAATCTATATGCTTCTGTTCGGTTAAAAATCTACATGATTCTGTTTGCTAAAAGTCAGCTCCATTGTGTGGTATCTGATCAACAATTAAAGACCTAATAAGGCACTCAGAATAAAGTTTTCCCCTCTGGCTAATGTTCTAGTCATTAACTGCCAGGGGAAAATGGATAACGTAAACGCAGGCAAAGCAGTAGTGGCACATAAAAAACAAAGGCTCAGTAGACAGAAAATATGGGGGGAAATATTCCTCTTTCAAACAGGACTATATTGATGCAAACTAGGTACTCTTTTGTTCGAGCTATCAGTATCCACATGGGGCAGTCAGAGCACAATGCTTTGGTATGCTCTGCAGTTTATACCTCTGTAGTCCGCCCTGTGAGGCAGTGTAGATATAGCCTAAGTGATATACCCAGTATAACTCAGGAAATCTTTGGGAGAGCCAAAAATGAAACCCCCCCATACCCTGAATCCCAGGCTAGTGTTTTAACCACAAGTTCCTTTTTCCTCCTTCATCAAGTGCTCTGCCCAACTAGTCATTATTCATAGATTCATAGATTCTAGGACTGGAAGGGACCTCGAGAGGTCATCGAGTCCAGTCCCCTGCCCGCATGACAGGACCAAATACTGTCTAGACCATCCCTGATGTTCATTATGCCGAGGAACAACCCTGCATCTCTCTCAGGGTTACTGTTTAAGATATGCAAGATTATTTGTATAAAGCAGATACCTCTGGATTATTAATTCATTCTAAGTAAATCTTGTTTATTGCTTAAACAATACACTGTTCAAAGATTCACAAAAAAGTCTCATTGTTCCACAAAGCATTGCACTTTTTTCATATCACTGTCTTAAAAAATATCTGATTTAAATAGAATATATTCAGTAGTTCATTAATATTAATAGACAATAATAATGTATGGCTGAAAATGTGGGAAGCCTATTTTATGGGGAAGATATCCAACAAAACTCATTTAGATATCAGAAGATGTTTAGTATTAAATTAACTGTATGGGCTTTCAGTAGATGTCTTAATTATACTACATACAGAATAGTAGTATATGATTGGATACCAAACTTTTGGTCAGTAAGAAATGTGAATTTGGCACATAAAAGATTTGAGAGTTGGTACAGAAATCTGGTTAGAACATCCTTCAGTTAATAGTGAATACACCTCTACCCCGATATAACGCGACCCGATATAACACGAATTCGGATATAACGCGGTAAAGCAGCTCTCCAGGGGCGTGGAGCTGCACACTCTGGCGGATCAAAGCAAGTTCGATATAATGTGGTTTCACCTATAATGCGGTAAGATTTTTTGGCTCCCAAGGACAGCGTCATATCGGGGTAGAGGTGTATATATGCCATGCAGCTGGTCACATGATTAGGGAGGTCTTTATTCTCCACAACGTGCCAGCTATATTAAAATGTAGTTGAGGAGGACTCCCTGATTCAGAGCCACCCAGCCCCAGTCAAAGGTCTTCTTTCTCCTGCTGGCTTGGACAAAGACCTCCCCCACCTCTGAAGCAGCACAGAGAGGCACTCTCCTCTAGCCAACTCCTGCTACTTACACAGCACAAACGTGGTTGGAGTATTCATCCCTTAATAATTTTATTAATAGATGTAAGCAGAGCTTTTTTATTTTAAACACTTCTCATAGAAACAAAATTCAATATTGTCATCACAATAGTTCAACAAAATCAACTGCTTTTTAAAACTGGTTTATTGTAATGTATATCTGAGTGATTCAAACAGTAAATACATCAAAACTGATACTAACAGACATAGCGGAGTGTCTCTTTGTTTAGTCATTTATAAACAGACTATTTATCCTCCGAAGTAACTTGTAACTTAAAGCCATTCAGAGGGAGGATTTATAATGGTATATTACATCCACAATACTGTACCTCAGTGAAAATCAATTACATGCTAATTTCATTACTTAATACTTCCATTCTGCACAAAAGTTATTGCTGTTGAACAGAGGAAGAACAGAACCACCTAACAACCACCAACCTCGCCAAATTCATCATCATAAGCAAGCTTTCCATAGACCAGGACACACCAACTCAAAGTAGCACCAGATGACAGAACAACAAATGCAAAACCTGAACACATATCTCCACTGCTATGATGATCAATACCCTCCCCCCAAATACACCTTTCAAGATCCATGGGTTCTACACATGCCTATCACCTCATCCTGTGGCATCAAATGCCCCAACAACTACTATGTGTGTAAAACCAGACAATCACTATGCTCTTGAATGAACTCTCACAGAAAAAAGATATAGGACAAAAACACCCTATCACTCATGGATGAATGCATTTCACAAAGCAGTCACTCCATATCTGATCTCTCAGTCCTCATCCTTAAACGAAACCTGCACAACACCTTCAAAAGATGAGCCCGGGAACTTAAATTCATAACTCTGCTGGATTGGACTTAACAGAGACACTGGTTTATGAATCATTACAACAATTTGGAACACACCCTACTGCCTGCAAACCATTACACGTCCACTTCATTTTAAATGGTGGCCTACAGCATATTTTATATAATCTGCCCCACCATGTATTTAGTCAAACACTCTGGTTACTTTCTCCAGACTTGAGGAAGAACTCTGTGGAGCTCAAAAGCTTGTCCCTTCTACAATCAGAAGTTGGTCCAAAAAAGATATTACCTCACCAACCTTAACTCGTATATCCTGGAACCAACACAGCTCCAACAATGCTACAAACAACACAGACTGGAATAGCTGCATTGCAGAAAGGACAGGATTTGAATCCTGGAGATTTTGCCTCTGCCATGTCCAAGGGGATCCAGTGTTGGGGCACCCCCCAAACATGAAGGCTTCTTCCTACTTTTCTTTTTCTGCCAACAGGCTTAAAAATAGAAATTTAACTATGCTAATTATATCTGGAACACGAACTACAACTAATACATGTGTAGGGAAAGAATTGCTGAGTGCGCAGAGATGTCTCAACCACAGGTAGTAACAAGAAACTGAAAATGAGCTTGTCCACTCCGTGGGACAGCATGCAGGGTGTAGGTGCAGTCCCAACATACATTGCTATTCAAAAAGATTCCAATCTCCTATGCATGGGGGTGCATACACACCAGGAGTAGAATGCATGTGGACAATCACTCAAAAAAACACTACTGTTCTTCACCAATGTAAGAGATTGCGCTTGTAACAAAAGGGGTTATGAATGTTACTTTTTTGGATTATTTCCTATTAATATCAAACCAGATCAATCATGGATGAACCTCAAAAATGGATAATAACCAAGATCAACTCCATATTGGTAGATCTCATATAAGATCAAAAAGGATTTCTATTGAAATAAAAGTATCAAAGGGGTAGCCGTGATAGTCTGGATCTGTAAAAGCAGCAGAGAGTCCTGTGGCACCTTATAGACTAACAGATGCTCCAATACATCTATTAGTCTATAAGGTGCCACAGGACTCTTTGCTGCTTTTATTGAAATAAAGTATTCTTATTAGAGAAAGTTGAATTAAGATTTTTTTGAAAAATTATTAAACTGTTTGCCTGAGCACCAGAAGTTTCCGTAATTAAAATAATAGCTTTTCAAATTCTTGCATAGCATCCAAATATTTCTGCCTCTGATGTCAACACTAGACTATTTCATGCCACTGATGTCTATCCAGAAGTAGTGGAAAACTACCATTTTCATCAGAAACAACAAGGAGTCCTTGTGGCACCTTAGAGACTAACAAATTTATTTGGGCATAAACTTTTGTGGTCTAGAACCCACTTCACCAGATGCGTGAAGTGAAAAATACAGGAGCAGGTATAAATACATGAAAGGATGGGGGTTGCTTTACCAAGTGTGAGGTCAGTCTAATGAGATAACTCAATTAGCAGCAGGATACCAAGGGAGGAAAAATAACTTTTGAAGTGGTAAGAGAGTGGCCCATTACAGACAGTTGACAAGAAGGTGTGAGTAACAGTAGGGAGAAATTAGTATTGGGGAAATTAAGTTACCATTTTCATGCAGATAATAAAAGCAGCTACTTACTCTCACAGCGCAACTTGAACCTTTTTACCACGACTCTCAATTGTATCTATAGAAAGACAGATCACATGGCTCTCTGCAATTTTATGGTAGCATTATTTTAAACAACATGACCTGCCATTGTCACTATTGGACATTCATTTTATACATTTAAGCCCAGAAAGGGTTACATTGTGTATTTGTCTCTATGTGCATGTATGTAATGTTACATATACACAAAGTCTCCAAACACAGATTAGTTTTGAGACCACATAATATAGTTATCCTTTATAGGCAGCCCGTAGGAATTATTTTAGTGAAATGGTAACTTTCTATCGCTAAGAATATTTTACACAACTTTTGCTTATGTTGGCAGGAGGGTGGGAAGAGTAAGTAAGTTTTATAATACTTTTCCAATTTAATTTTTAAATACAAAAGTGTAGGGCAGGATTTTTTTTAAATGGCTTATAATATTGGGTGCCCACATTTTTGAATTCCCAACTTGAGACACTGAATTTTCAGAATGTGGGTGCACAGTTCAGGTTGGAAATCTTGGCTGTAAATAACACACATATATTTACAGTAGTGGTGAATATTTATATTGTGGTAGCACCCAAAGGCCCCAATAGGATTAGGTGCCGTGCAAAAGAGACAATCTCTGGTCTGTATCTTCAATCCCAAAGCATTTTACAAATAAGATATGCAGTGGGAACTCATCAGTTATTGCATAATGCACACCAATTCCACACAATGCTTTAGGACAGGAAGTGAGGGAGAATA